TAATCTTTGTCTTAATCAGTTGAAATGCTTAAGAATAAATCGATTTTGGCACAAATGGCGTTCCATATTACTTATTTGCATGGCGTTCCATAGTATACTTTTTCTGGGATTTTTCTAATTCTCATCAAAAAAGTTTCTCAACATAAACTGACGCTGGTGGCGCTTTCCGAAATGCGCTAATGTACTACGAAAAATCTATAAATTAGAGACTTGTGGCAAGTCTATTTAATGGTATGTGTTTACACAATTTTTCTACGTGCCCACGTAATATGATAATATAATAGGTTTGTAAAATTGAATACAGAAATAAACCGCTCAGGAGTGTCAATCAAACTTAACAACTGACCAATCAGAACAGTGACCGAAATACGCGCGTATCCAATAAGCACACTTGTTTTTCCACAAAACGCACGGTTCGCGTATGTTTTAACCATTTAACACTGTCGATCGTCTTGGGGCCTTAGCAACAATATCCAAGGGCGGGGTTTAGCGGAAAGGTCAATTTGTGTTAAATACACTAACCTGCTGATTATCGGGGTACGTCTTGTAAACATAGTGCATAATACCGGTAAAAGTCGGCGGTAGCTCAACGCCAAATTCCTCCAGCACTTGCTTATCTATTGCAGTCAGTATTTTCTATGAGAGATAGCAACATAAAAAAAATATACAAGTCAACAACTGAGTTATGGGCCTACCTTTGGGAGGTGTTTATTCTATATAATACGTGTTGTGCATATATTTACACTATGCGCAATGTACTGCTTGTAGTTTATTTGCGTTACAATTCCATGCTTCCCCAAAAATGGGGTCGCCAAACTTTTGTGTTGGGTCTCGAGCAGGCAATTCAATTTATGTGCTCATTTTCATTTTCAAACTGTTGATGCGAAGTTTAGCAAGTCTCTGACGACTTAAAACCAGTATTATTAGGTGAATCCTCATTAGAACAATATTTTATTATATTCCCACAATGAACATTCAGAAATTCATATGATGTTTTGATGCCGTTCACCACAATATAGTTTTGTAAATCTAAGCTTTCAACTGTTCAAAACAATTTATAGAAATAAACTTAAAACCAAAAAGTACTGTCAGGTGACCTAAAAATAACATTATACAAATGAATTTCGAATTTTAAACTTTTGCAATAGGCCTAATATACCAAAAAGCCCCTGTCATTTTGGTTGAAAAGGTTATATAGTAGTCAGTGGCGTATCCAGTATGGGTGCTCAGAGTGCCAGAGCACCATCCTTCACAAGCTTCAACCATGATGGGGCTCAGGTGGATATAGTTATTTTCGTTTATTTTTTTTTTATTTATTTTTTTTTGGTACTAAAGTGCAATTTTCCGGCATCTAAAAGCCTCAAATTCTTATAATTGTCTTACCTCAGCCTCAACCACGAGCTGGGGTGGATAGTAGTTTTTGAAAAATTTTAAATAGGCATACCAAGTGCCGTTTTCGGGCATCTAAAAAATCTCAATTTCTTAAAATTTACTCATCTGCGCCTCACAACCATAGTGGGGCTCAGGTGGATATCGTAGATTTTGTACTATTCAAGTGCTCTTTTTGGGTATCTATAAGTCTCAAAATTCTTAAAACTTCGACGATTAAATGGATAATCTGGTGTGAATTGCAACAAGTTGTACTCAGTCATTTCATTGGTTGAAAAACACAAACAGAGCTTGTGACAGTGGTGTGCATCCTCCTTTGATTCAGCACTCCCTTCCTTAATCCTGTATACGCCACTGGTAACCACACGGTTAAAATTTAGGTTTAAGTTCACCAACTGCATAATTCAAAGCTTGTAAATTACAATAAATAGCCATATTCGTTGTTTCACCTCGCTAGCTAGAGTTGTTTGGTCCAGGTTAGGAGGCACCTGATCCCAGAAACGATCAAGACATAATCGATGCTAACCGGACGGAGAACATAAACACAGATCTCCGGTTGGCAGTATTGGTTTGGTGGGGTTTTTTTTGTGTGTGTGTGTTTTTTTTTTTTTTTTTTTTTTTTTTGCTTATTTATTTATCCATGTTTTCTTTGTCTTCTTACCTTTTGTCTAAATCCATAGAGACCTTATACATTTGTGCTATATAAATCCATCTATTATTTATTATATAGTGAGGAATGGAGAAAACTTCATTGTGCATTGATAAGATAATAAAAATAATGGCTACTTTAGATAAAGATAAAGACCTGCTAACCGGACGGAGAACATAAACACCGATCTCCTTTTGGAGATCGGTTTTATTTTAGACTTTTCTAACTCTTGATTCCCGTAGCCCATAGGTCTAGATTGTGCTGTTTGAAGTAATAAGCTATGTAGTTATAAGGCATTGATCGCTGCTCCTAGTCCTAAACTCTAAATTGCTATCCGTTCCTTTTCTGTGTTTAAGTTTTGTTTTTTTTCTTTTTAGCTAGAGGCGTTTTTTCAAAGTAGGCTAGTCTGCACTAACATCATTCCTCGATAATTCGCCAAATGATTAATTAGCGTAATTAGTTAATTACTTATGATACGGATTGATATTGGACAAAATGTGAATGTATGTTATTGAAATCTCAAATAACAATTTTGGCACCAAAATTGAGATTCGCCGGTAAGGTTCGTAGGAACAGCGACGTTCGTATGCGGTAAGTAATCCGTATATTAGTATATTTTCATGAACATTATATTATTCCGAACACTATTTAATTTCAAATACTATCTTGTTTAATGTAATCGCTCTTTTTCCTAATTAATTGTTCCTCTGTAGTGCCTAGCTATAAAATTCTTCCCTGCATCCTCTGATTAAGATTAGCATGCGTAGGCATATCTAGTATTATGTCACATTTTGAAAGCCGCATGAACATGTGAGATGTCACATGGTCATTACAAGTCTATCTACTCATCTTTGCTGTTTCATTAAAGTGGACTCTCATAGATTGACGTATATTGATGATAATAATGGGCATTGATTGATAAATAAATACAGCTCATAATTTATCGTGAATCTCCTAAAAACTCTGATTTGGCAATATGTAATATGACATCATCATGTCCATGGGCAAATCACACAGATGTGATGTGCTTTAGAGATAATAATAATAATAATAATAATAATAATAATAATAATAATAATAATAATAATAATAATATTTATAAAGCGCACAAATCCACTGCAGTAGTGCTCAAGGCGCTGAGGAAGAAGAAACCAAAACCAATATATATATAATATAATATATATATATATATATTTATATATATATATATATATATATATGTATGTATATATATATATATATATTTCCCAAATGCTTGCGAACACAATTTCGCAAGTGATTCGGGTGGGAATCGAACCCAAGACCTCCTGGTATCGAGCCTGATGTCTTAACCAC